AATCTATCTGTATTACTCAGTATAATAAGGCTGTAGCATGACTAAAGTAAATCTCATTTTGTGTTCTGCAGTATCAAATTTAAAAGTGGGTTTGAGTTCTGTTATAAAATGCTCGATTGTCTAAGTTTTTAATTTTGTTCTTATGATCAGTAAATTAATTTTCTATTTGGAACAAAAGTCATGGGGGGCTTGCTGTGTTGATTTTTCTTTCTTTTTAAAGAATATGTTTGAAAGTTTATGGCACATTTTTTGGCAGAGTGCACATCAATAATACTACCATATGTCCAGGCTTTAGCACAAGTTTACCTTTGGGTTTGTGGCCATCTCCATGACAAGGTCACACAAATTCCAACAGGAAATGGGTAGTGCAATTTTCAGGCAGGCCTATGCAGCTATTGACTCATTATTTTCAATGAAGGGCACTCATTCCACTTACCACTCACTCCCCCCTTTCCCAGTGATCTCCCTATAGTTAACACGAAGAGGATAAGTCTCTCAAAATTTCACTTTACCTGAAAATAACTTTAACTTTTCTTGAAATATTTTTTTTCCTCATCTGAAATGGTTCTTCATTTTTAGTTATTTTGTGGTATACAGTGCATTAGATATTGAAGTCACTAGGAGTGAACCTCCATGCAGCAGCCAGACTGTGAAGGAGGAGAACTAGGTGGCACCAGTGGGACTAGAGACATGGGGTTTGTTTCTAGTTCTGCTGAAGCTTTACTTAGTAAGCTCTTGCTTATCCCATCTGTAAAAATGGAGTGGAGAGCATTTCCATCACTGAAAAATATTCTAGGATGCAGAGATGAAAATTCTAGGTAAAAGCTTTTATCTGGGCATCTTTTTACTGCTAAAAAGACAGCACTACCTGCACTGTGATGTACCAGTGTGGTATCTCAAGGAGTGGAATGAAGGGGAAGCACCAGGATCCTCCACATGTGAGATCCTTCTGGACAGTGGAGGGCTGCTGGAGATCCCACTGGTGGTGTTTACTTTCCCTGCCTGCCCTGACCTGGTGAGGAGGACTTGTGGGAAGGTGGATCCCCACAGCACTCCTTGCAGGGAGTGGGATTTCATCAGGGCCAGTGCTCCACTGGCTGTTTCAAATTGCAGCGGGGCAAGTACCTCACCAGAAGGTTGTAGTAACAGTGCTAGGACTGACAAGAAAGGGGTGCGTGTGTGCATGTGTGTGTGCAAATATTTTCCCTAAATGCTCCATTTTTGCTAAACAATAGAAAACCAATTAGATTTTGCTTCAAAGCTTTGGTGAATTTTGTGGTCTTTCTTTTAAGAGGAAAGGATGTGTTTGGGTGGGGCTTTGTTTAATTTTTTTTTCCAAATTGAAAAGTACTCTACAACCTAGTTCTGCCATTTGTGAAGGAAGTAGTTTCACACTGAAAACGGCAAGTCAGCACTGATTAATGGTATTGAGTCAGGTTCTTGTCTCTGTAGAAACAATACACACCACTGTGTGTCTAGACTGAGCCCAGACTGAAAGACCTTTTTCAAGTAGTGGTCTTGATCATGCTCTTTGAAATCAGTAGATAGGCCATTTGTGTAATTAGACCTCAAGAGAGCAGATGAAGAAACTGAGAAAGATGTGTGAAGGAGCTGGCTCACAGCTAAAGCAGGGGCTGGTATCAGGATGGAGCATAGGAATTGGTGCTGTGATTAAGCCCTTCTGCCTTCAAACAACGCCTTGCTTTTTCCAGTACGTCCCAGATGAGCTCTGAAGGATATCCAGTGGTTCGCAGATTTTAGCTAGTTATTTTCTGAAGGGGCCCTCAGTGTCTATACAGACTTGAAGCTAAACCACATTTCATGCCTTCTTGTTGGGAACGCCCATTGTCAACAATGGGTTGTTGTTACAGTCTAGACAATGCCAGTGTCATGATGAGAAACAAGCACTCTGCCATGTGTGCGATGGTATATGCCATTGAGAAAAAGCACTTGGTTTATTCCAGTAAATCTCTGATTCAAGGGATATTGCAGCAATGACTATTACGCATTTTAAAAAAAATAAAATTATATGGGCTGCTCTGTTTTAGAAAGCTTACACATTTTTTTCCCCTATTAAATTGCTTCCTGGTGATGGAAATGTCTGGGATTTTTTTTTTTTTCTACTGCATCTACTTTCCTTTAGCTTGCACACCCCTGAGGTAATTAGTGTAGGTTAAAATTTACATAACTGACTTTGGGGTTTTGCAAATAGGAAAGATGGAAATTTATTCAAGGTGGTGAATAATTCATTTAAAAGCAAGTTTCCTGTTTTTTTAATCATGTAGAAGATGTATTACAGACTCATAGAGGTTTTCTGAATAGGACCCTAAGCACTGAATTTTTGATAAATTTTTTTTTCTTGGTATAGGTAAAGAAATATTAACCATGACTCATTGCACTTTTCCTGTTCAATAAGATTTGAATAAACTTAAAAAATTTATTAGGTAGATGATAGAGCTTTTTAAAAATTATCATGACACACTGTGACAAATATTTTACTAAGATCCAGAAGAAATAGTTTTAAATCATACTCTCATTGCCACTTCAGAGGCAGAGACAGAAAACAGTTCAGTTAATACAGATTCATATTTTCTTTTGAATATTCATTATTTAATTAAGATTAGGAAGATAAACAAAGGGATTGGACAGCTGTGGGAGTCTGGTAATAAAATCAATTTTTCTTTAAAAAAAACTTCTCTACTACTGTCTCAGTGTAAGCCTGGACTGGCAATGTCTGAATGTTGTTGCAATATTATGGCTACTTGATATTTTACATGGAGTGAATTTTCTATTTAATCTTATTTCTTAATTAAGTGGCCACCTCAAAAATTGCTTTCACAGTCATCACCAAGAGTTGCATCCGGGAGAAAAATTGTGAACCAAGGCCTCCTCCCACTTTCTGAAATTTAGCTTTAACTGCCTCAGCCCAAAACTTGAAACCCCTTTCCATCTACCAGCAAACTCTGGAAACACATGGAATCTTTCCATCAATAGTTTTTGTCATTAAACCTTCTCAGAGATTTTGAGCTCTGTTGCTGGGTGTCAGACCAAATGTCCCAGCCATGGCAGCCTGGTGCCTACATCTCGCAGGGGTGATGAAAGCGGTGGCCTTTGCTGCTTGGTCTTTGCTGCCACCAGGATGAGTTACCTACACCTGAGAGAGCATAGGAATAATCTGTCCTTGCTCTTGACATGTTTCCTGGTGACTGCAGCCTCCACTGGACTGTGGGAAGTGTCACAAGGTGGGTCTGATGGCTCTAACCACGCAGCTACCAGCTCTGCTGGAGCGGAGCTCCAGAGCAGAGCCAATTCCCAGTCCTTCCTGAGAAAGTGGCATAGGAGGTCATTTACCAGGCTGGGGAAAGAAAATCAGTGTCAGCATTTGCAGGGATGGGAGAAGAATGAGTCCTGCTCCCTGCTCCAGAGACTTGTAGTGAATTTCAGCCAACTGTTGTCCAGGAGCAGGAGGGCTTGGTTCCCACTAGCAGAGGAGCAGTGGTGAAGGAAACATTGTCCATGACACAACTGCCATGTGGAGAGGTGGAAGGTCTTGCTTTGAGCTAGTTTGGTTGCGTCACATTTTTATGTGTGATGCCTGACCTGGAGGATTTATTGCATCCATCTTGGAGGATCTCTGCTGGGACTACCAACAAATCCCACTGTTGTCTAAGGCAACCATGATGTTTCTGCTTTAATTTTACAGGATTAAATTAAAAGGGTTACATTAAAAGTTACATGCACAAGCTTTTGTTGGTTTTGTCTGTCTTTACACTATGACAATTTTAATTTTGGAAATAAGTGGGATGCTTTGCCTTAATCTTCAGCAGAGATTCCCAAGTTTCCTTAAAACTGACACAAATTTGACAAAAAATTTAGAGATTTGGAAGAAAGGAGAGACTTTAACTGTCATAAATGGAGTCTCTGATGGAGAATTCTTCTCCATTGACTATTACACTGTCTCCCTACCAAAATGATTTTTTACCTTTGAGGCACAGTGAGAGTAGAAGTGGAGCATAATTTTACACTGTTTAAATGACTGTATAGGGTATACAATAGGAAGCCTTCTTATGTATTGGTAGTTTGGATCTATGTTTTATGTCAATCTCAGGGACACCAACAGAAGATCCAGACATGAGAAATGTTCTTGAATATTCAGCAAGATCTCTGTACTATTCAGATCAAGGAGAAGAATTTTGTTTTCATGAGTGGGCAGCCCTCAGTATGGTTATCGTTTTGAGTTTTTTCACACAGAACATAGTTTAATAGGTGTGGATGCTAGGTTCTTGATAGAATGACTTTTTGAGCTTGATGTGCAAGAGTAAAATAACTTCAGGCCCTTCAGCTTCATGCTAGAGAGCTCAGAACTGTTGAGGCAGTGGACTGCATACGTGAGTTAGCCTCCTACAGATTGCAACCTCCAAAAATGTCAGTCCCTCTTACCAAGGATTTCAAAACAAAGCTGGTGAGACAAGGCATCAAGATTTTGAGTGAATTTAAAACAAGGCAAGTTGAGGGCTCTATGGTCTATGCCTAAACCTGCTTTGTGTGTTGTATTTTGGTGCGTCTGTACAGACACACTTGCACATGCATAAACGTTATGTATGCTTGTGTATGACTATGTGGTTAGGTGTTGTAAAAATAAGGACTGTAGAACACTACCATGTACAAATATACATTGTATGAGAAAAGTTTTTAAAATAAGGTGAGAGCTCAGTATCTCTTGGAAATAATGCAGTAAATGTGGAAAAAAGTTATGAAAAAAATAATGAAATAAAGTTACAGTGGCTAGAATTCCTCATTGCTTCTGAAAACCTTCAACCAGAAGACCTGAGGAAAGGAAGCTTTGGAAAATTTCACATTTATGGCTTTTATTTCCATGTTTTTTCTGTACATTTAGAAACAAACTCTGTGGTGGTTTTTTTTTTGGTTTTTTTTTGGTTGGTTTTTTTGTTTGTTTGTTTGTTTTTTTAATTTTTCTTCTTGACATGTGGGACTCAAAGCACCACAAGGAAGTTTCTCACCGCAAGAAACAAAAGTGGAGAGCCAGGATTCAGGAACTGCTTCAAAGGTACGTCAGATAAGAGCCACTTTGTACTTCCATCTAATGTGCTTTCCTTCTAAAGATCTTTTAGTTCTTCACAGATATTAATGACTAGAACTTCTCCCAAATGAAAGACCTCAGGCCTAGAAAAATTAAGCCTGTGCATTTGAAAGAGGTCTCTGTTTTGTGTTACCTCCATTTTTGGATACTCAGCTTGGGCTGTAATTTTTAAGTGCTACATACAGTGCACTTCAAAAGGTGACCAAATGTCTTCTCCCGCATTTTTGATCTTTGCCACTGAATCACCCTTCAGAGAGTGAAGGAAATAGGAATTGGAGCAAAGTTTTTGTGATCAAGCTATATATGACCTTCAGAAAAATACATGCATCAAATTACCTGTAAAGAAATGAATGGAGGAAATAAATAACCCTCATGAATAGAGCAAAGGAAGCTATGTTCTGCTGTGACAGCTGATGAGCAGGCTGGTGAGCACAAAAGGGTCTAACTTTGCTGAATAAATTATTTTCTTCAATCTAATACCCAGTAAAAGGAAGGAAAGGAGAAAAATGGTGCAACTTTTAAAAGAGATCAAATGCGGTTATTTAAATGTTTGATGTTCAGTAATGAAAACTGTTTACCTTCATAATTGTATATTAGCAGCTAATAAAGGCAATAGATACAGTAGTTTAAAAGTAATAAAATCAACAACAAAGTGTATTTAATTTTAAATTGAATTGCAAGCAAATGGGTGTCCTAATGAACCCCTGTGTCAATGCAACTCTAACCAAATTAAGTGAAATTATTTCCATCATGCGAAACTAAGTAAGTACAAAGTTCCAAACAACTTCTCTCCTCAAGAAGAATGCTTTAACATCTCAGATGTTTCAGGTCTATGAATTAGCTAGTGCCATTCATTCACCTTCTGTTACTTCCGTTTAGGACAGCTAGAGCCAAATTGACTTATGGAAGCTCAAGAACAAAAGTTCAAAGGTGGTTGACCCTGTGCTTCTCGTATTCAGTCCTTAGCACTGGAATCTTGTCCTTATTTCTCATTGGTCCTGGCTCGGGCAAAATTTCCATATACTTTATTGTCACTGGCATCTACACTGGCTTTCTGACCGATTCAGTTTTTACTTGGGCATTTATGTGATAAAATTCTACTGGTAGAGAAATCTGGAAAGCAGTTTTGCTATGAGCCAGTGGTAATTTTACTGATGTAAATGTGTACATTTTCAAAAAAACAAAAAAAGGGCAAAAGAAATAGGCAAGGTCTGAGTAGAATAGAAACTGATTTGTAGCAATGTGCCAGGATCTTGGAGATAGGAGCATCTGTTTCGGAAGAGGAGAATGTGTTACCTAACTAGCACATGTGCATGAATCTGGGATGTTTATCATGATTGCACAGTCTCTGTAATTTTCTTGATGAAGAACAATGTTAATTTTTACAAATGTGGAGGCTTCTCAGATCATCACCTAGCATGCAAAGAAAGAAAATGGGAATGAAGACACTGGTGTTGAATTTTTCAAAACCAAGTCAGAAAATACTGAAGGAGTGCTGCAGGAGTGCTTCAGAAGTGCAGTCCAGGGAAATGTTGGTTTTGAGTCTTGATTCTTCCATTCTTCTTTTTTTTTTTTTTTTTTTTTTTTTTTTTTTTTTTTTTTTTTTTTTTTTTTTAATGAACACCAAGTTATAGCATTTTCTTTTGTGGCTAAAAACTTAACTCAGTACATTGCTTGGCAACCTAAGAGAGCCTATTTTTGTATATACCCAAGCTAATCCTGCATTGCAACCTTACCTGATGCAGTGATTTCTCCTTGGCTCCATATGACCCCTCTCAGTATGCTGCAGGCAGCTCCCTTGACCTCCAGCATGACACATGGCTGACCCTCAGCCATGAACAGCCTGCTCAGCCTCCAGCTTCTGAGAGCCACCATGTCCTTCTTTGTGCCTGCTCCGCCTCCACCTGCAAGTGTGGCTGGAGCATCACCAGCGCTGGCGTGACCAGCTGACCCTCCCTGGCCTCTTAAGCATGTTCTAGAAGCAAGAGCTGATGTGTTTTGAAGCCAGCAGAACATCTACAGATGTTTTTACTTAGGGTCAATAATGTTAAGATACTGATGCCATGTAGGGACAGAGGAATTACTCATGGTTCTGTGTCTGTTGATGGATGGGATTGCCAAACCATACAGTTTTATAGTGTTTTTTGTAAATGTCTTAGTTTTACATTTGCTCCTGCTGTGTTCTGGGAACAAGATTTTCTCCATAGGGTACTGTGCCTTTTGTGTATCCTGTGCACTAAGCAGGGGCAGCATTGGAAGTGTAGGGCTATTCTTGCTGAATTTGCTGGCATTCTGTGTTGCTACACTGACCTCTCTTGAAAAAAAAAACCAAAAAACCCCAACAACTTTGAGTTGATATAATTACCCTCCAAATCACTTTAAATACACAAGAAGCTAACATATGAATGACAAGGAAGGTTTAGTGGTTCACATGTAGCTGAAAATTTGTGTATGTGCATGTAAGTGTATATATATGACATATAATTTATATATTTAATTTTTCTATCTATGAAATAAGACATTTTTGAAGATTCTAAATGACATAAGATTTAGATATAAATTTATAAGATTTTTTTGGATGGGAAAAACAAACAAAAAAAGGAAGATTTTATATATATAATTTTTTTTTTTCTGTGGTTTAAAGCAATCAAATCCCCAAGGACTCAATGGTTTCCAAAAACCTGTCCAAGTTTATTGAAGCTGTCAATCAGTCCTCAAAGTGTCAGCAGAGGCAATGGCTTCCTACTTTAATATTCTCAACCTAGATCCTGAGCCCCAATGCCAGACAGAGCTGATTATAGACAAGCATTGAAACTTCAGGTTCCTTATGTCAACCTGTGGCACAGCCTGACAAATATTGGTCTTGTTATTTTTTTATGCTGCTTTTTGAAGCCTAGCCATTTCTCTGCTTTAGCAAACTGTTGTTTCTTCTGAGTGCACTGCAAGTCTTAGGATATGTTCAAGGAAAACATCAAACTTATGTATTTCCAACAGCAAGTGCTTTCTGTGTACGCATTGTAGTTAATTTCTTTTCTGTTCTTCTTCTCATTCCGACTTCTGCAGATTGGGAAGTCAGCCGCTGAAAACAGAAGAGAATGGAAGGGAAGAAGAAATGATAGCCAGCTTTGGTAACCTCGCAAGTGTGAATACTGGATTAAATGGAGCAGCAGCAGGGCCTTGCGAGAAGGTGAGGTTCTCCATGAGTGCTCTTTTTCCCAATGTGAACTGCTAAATGACTGGATCAATTGTACTGCTCTTTTTTTTTTTTTTTTTTTTTTTTAATTTCTCTTTTCATAGTTTAAGAGGATAGAATTTAGCAGGTTTCAAAATATGCTTTCCAGCAAAAGTAACCATATGCTTAAAGAGAATGTCTAAAGCTATTAATGATGAATCATTTGGGCATGGCAAGAGTTCTTCAAAACAGTTTGTCAGTGCTGGCCAAGCAAAGTCTTTCAGCAGGAGATGAGACAGCTATGCCACCATGCAAATGAGACAGGCTTGAAATATGATGAATCTTCTATCTCCTTTTCCTATTCGACTGACACTCGCTTTGAGGAAGGTTGTAAATGCAAGAGAGATTGTGGTATAATTCCTCAGACTGGCGTTTCTGCCCCCCAGTCACTATTCGATTATCTTCCAAATTGCTGTGTTTCAGAGAGATAAAGATTTTTTATGGCTTGCTGACTTGAAACAACCAGAAGAGCCAGAAAAGAGATGGCTAACCGGCCATGCATAGTAATTCCATTGGTAAATGACAAAATCTTTGTTTGTATGACATTTCCAAAATTACTACAGAAGATGAATCTAAAATACAAAATGTCACATTTGGCATGCAAAACTATCACAATATATTTCAGTATAAAATTCATAGAGGCGTTTAATTTAGAATGTGTTTAATAACGAAGGCTGCCTGCATCAGTAATCCTGCCTTGAGGTTTAAAAAGATTGTCTTATTTATTCACATAATGTTAATTTTTTTTATATATGATTCAGAAACCAAAAATATTAAGGTTAAATCTTCATTGTTAATTAAGATTTTCTAATTAAGCTGAAAATTATTGTCATTCAGATTAATTGTTAAGTATGGTTTGTGTTGAGAAACAAAAGAAGTTTAACAAATTCAGCTGTTTATTTAACTGCTTAATTTAATTCCAGAAGCTTTCTATCTATATGGAAATATGCTATCTCTTCCAAAATAAATCCAAGACAGGATTAAAGAAGAGATTATTAGCTACTGTAGGCTTAAACTGTGAGACCACTAAACCTAGTAGTCAAGGTAGCCATGTGATTCTGAAGTGTGGGTTCTTATAACCAATTGAAAAAAAAGGACATCTATCACTAGTCTTTTCTCCAAATAATAGAATAAATTGATTTCTTGGGGAAAAGAGGAATAGCATTGCTGATTTTAAGCACTAAATAATTAGTTACTGTAGAAACAATTTTATCCATTCAAGTCAACACTGGAGCCTAACTGGGACTCCCTGTTGTGTGCCTGACCCCTGCATTTGGGCAGCACTGAAGTATCTTCTGGTGTAGTGGGACAAACCTTACATCATTACTCAGGCAAGGTTGTGTAAGGATTGTACAGTCGTGTCTGTTCCCCACAGCCAACCCCCACACTGAGAAGCTGAATACACAAGGAAAGCACCAGAAAAGTATTTCTGGTACACAGCATTTATTTCATGCTAAACATTCTGTAACTCAGACAACATCTTGTCAACAGCAACCAGCAGACGTTTCCTTCTGTCTGGACTTGGAGTAAAGGTGCCTTTAGGGAGTTGTTATTAAATTCTACATGTGTTGCACTTTGATTACTATTTTTAAGAGAACCTGATTATATGATAATCAGAAGGTAAAAGGATAGTCTGCATCTTACACAGCACTAATAGCTTTGGCAAGGCTAATAATTAGTGTAAAAACATGGCCTGCCCTGTCTTTCACTCTGAGCCTGTGGCCTGCTCGTCACATCAAATATTGTGCCTGTCTCTCAAAGCATGCTGTATTTTTGAAGGTATTGTCTTCCAGTTTATTCTGCCTTATTATTACTGTCTAATATCTTCTGGTGTCATACTTCACCAGCTCTACCTTTCCTCCAAGGATGCTCAACATTTTATGAGTAGTATTTGTACTGCTTTTTTTATCTGTCATCTCTATGACTTTTGACCTCCCTAATTGCAGATACTTGGCTAGCAATAAGTAATTGCAGGTTGAACAAGAAATGTGTTGTCTGTTTTTCAGTGTTTGTTTTCTGGAAGAAATTTGTTCTTGCTAATTGTATGATTAAAGTCAGCTCAGCCCATGTTGGTAACTCGGAACCTTCTCCCTAGGTTGACTACTCCAAGAAGCCTCAGTTAATAGAAATTCACTTCAAATGCTTGAGGGGAGTCAAAGATAAGGTCCCTAAAGGCCACTACACTCTCAAAGTTCGTGTTCTGAGCCGCTTAGGTGGTGGCTTGCTGGAGAGACCTGAACTGAAGGAGCAGCCTCAGGCCAGGACAACGCAGCCTGTTACTCATGGTGGAAACTTCTACAACACTGAAATCTACTTTGGACAAAGTATCCAGACAGTAAGCAACACTTCATAAATATGCTGTCTTTGCTTTGAAAGTTAAAACACATCCGCTCTTTCTCCTTTAGGCTTATATATTTAATGCATTCCATCATGTTAATAATTTATTTAATATTTTAAGGTGCAATTTAGAAAGGTGCAATTTTTTTCCCCTAGGTTAACCCTCATCACTCACTCTAAAAGTGCCAAATATACGCTACATCATATAGTGTTGTCAGCTAATTTTAAGTTTTACTTTTATTCTCTCTTATCTATGCAGCTTGTCAGCTATGTAATTTGATTTCTGTAAAGTAGCTTTAGAATAATAAATGAACGAGTGGGTGTATATAAACACATGAATGCCCAAATCCTTCTGTGAGTTTTTAGCTCCATTGACCCCCATTTGCCAAAAAAGCAGCATTTGGATTATTTTGGAAGGAGCCCAAACACTCGAGGCTCTATTCTGTCTTTTGTGACTGAGGCACACATATTTTCCTGCCTAAGCATGCTGTGCATGGCAGGATTGTTGTGTGTCAGTTGCTCACTGTTGTAGCTAATGCCTAGTGCTGGTTGAAACATTGGTCTCAGATAAACCCTCTGGCACGTGAAAGCTTCTTTACGGTTTGAAAAACAATCTTCATCTCTCTCAGTGCGGTGGGGTTTTTTTGTGTGTGTTATGAGGCGTTGGTAGAATGACTAGTTTTTTCTACTTTCAATCATTTATTTTGTGCTATGACCTGAATGGTAGTTTTCCTCCTCCAAACCTTCTGTTGTCCAAAGTGTTGCATAGATACAGAACAGACAGGCAGTCCTTATCCCAAAGAGCTTTGGGATAGCAAACCTTTATGTACGCCACTGATGCTTTCAGCTACTTGTGGATTGGTAATTTCAGATGTTGGGTTTGTGACTTATAAAGTGTTACTAAGTCACATTTTCTGCTTTTTAATTGTTTATCACCTCTAATAGATAATGAACAGTGTCTGTAATACAGCTATTGGTGTGAAAGGAATCACATATATGGGGGGGGAAAACTGTGAATGTGACTTTCCCATGATGTTAAAACAAATACATGCATCTGTCAGAGAAATCACTGAGCTGTGATTCCTTCCTAGGCAGGATGTGTGCATCCTGGTTACTTTCCTTGGAGATTAAGTATTGTCTTGAAAGGAGAAGACTGGACAGTATGACTGAATGACTCCAGCATGATCTGCTTACTTTCAGCATCATGTTTCTCCTAGGTCTTTGCTGCTTTTTGCATTTGCAAGTTTGCTTTAAAGTTCTCTTGGGTCTCACAGGGGACATTTGATTAGCATCTTCACCAAACTTCATTTTTAGTCTAGTGAACCAGCGTGCAGGTCTCGGGCAAGTTCACTTAAAATACAGGACCAGGAGAAGTTGGATTAAATGACCTTCTGATAACTCCCTGTCTTCAGTACTCTATAATGGACAGCAAAAGCTTGATGTCATAACTTTAGAAAACCTTCTCCACCAGCTCATTTTGAAGACATAGGATGTATTGTACCCTGGATGACTCTACCTTTCTGTTCTTCCACCTTGGTATTGGTGCACAACCTTAAGATATGTTTCAGAAGAAACCCTTGGGGTCTGTGCTGAGATGAGGCAAATTTTAGGCTTCAGATGGTTAACATCTACCAGAAAACTTGGGGTAAGTAGTGATGTCTTAATGGTGAGCTTCACATGAGCATCTAGGTTTGAACACAATCTAATATACAACACTACTGCTCTGGGATATATTATGGGGTGGGAAATAGAAGTGTTCACAAATGCAGAATACGCTTCTGTTTTCATTGGCCAGAATAATGATAGGAGTTCAGTGTAAACATGGTGAAAATGAAGACATGCATGCTTGATATTGAAGGAAAGCTTAATTTTAAGTAATATATTAGAGAAATTGTTCCAGAACACTACATCCTTCCAAAAATAATAACCCTGTCATGTCGGCAAAGTTGGTGTCAGCGTGGGTTACCTGCTGCGTACAGAAAGTGCTGGTCATGTAAGTTAGATCTGCCTCAGGGCTAGTCTGACTTGCACACCCGACCTTTCAAAAATGTTTTCTGTTCATTAATCAATGTTCTTTGCTCCAGCTTGCCAGTTTCCCTTCTTTCCGCTCCTTCATTGTCCTCCCTTTTAGTTTGTCAACCTACTTCCCCAATAACCTCTGACTACTTACTAGACAGTGGCTCCTAATAGCTGCAGTTGAATTTTATTTATCTTTCAATAAGGCCAGACAGTCAAACAAGTAATTTTTTTAATTTAAATTATGCTGGATGAAACCTGTATGAATACTTTGGATTGTGATAAAACGCAATTGCTGTTTCACATGACTGTTTACCATTTTAGAAATAGCAACAAATGGCATAATCTGAATAGGGTTTGTTTTAGACTCATCATTTATAGGATATTTTCATATATTTAGTTTATGCAAGTGGACTTTAGGCTTTTATAGGTAAAGTCTGTGTGACTGCATCATCTTTACCTAGAACAAGGATTTTACTAGTATAACTTCCTTATTGCTGTTTCATGGTGGGTAAGATCCTATTATAGATAAGACCTAAGTAGTCAGTAAACATTTTTTTTTCACAGTGTATTTAAAGCACTGTTTTACTCGATAGGATTATGTTCAAGTGTTAGCAAGTCCAGATTACATTTTTCAGCTTAATGATGACTTGAAGAGCACAAATGAATTCCAGTATGCAAAAGTATAATTTTACACAGAAAAAGGTGTTTTATTTTGCCATCTTTTTTTAGGTTAGTTCAGTAGACATTAAAATTGTTCTATGAAACAGTTACAACAATAAGAACAAAACCTCACTTTTCAGAGTAACAATATTCATTGGCTTCAGTGGAACAAAAGTTGGAATGTGGCAAAAAAGCTTCTCTTCTTTAAAAAAAAACTGTTTTCAGCTATAATTTCAATTATCGGGACTAAAATATTTTGTGGTACATTGCCAACTTTGCCTATAGAGGAGGAACCTTTAAGGAAGATGTTCTTATTTCCTCTTTCTTTGCAACAAATTATAAATATTTCTGAAGCACTTTTCAAGACAAAATATTGCCTGTTAGAAAGTGTTCAAAATGGGAAGTTCAGATAGGAAATTTTCAACTGTTGCGAAGAGCACCAAAAGTCAATGAGGTTACCTGCAAGTGACATTTAAAAAGTATTCATTATGCAGTCCAGACACCTCAGAAGTCAGTCCAGCACTGCTGAGCTCCAGAAGTATGTGAGCATTGGTGCTACACATTTTCCCCAGTGTACCTGGAACTTGGGATAGTACTAAATCTGTTCATATGCATGAAAAGACATCATTGCTGACAGAACAGTTCACAGAACTGAAGATTTTTAAAGAGTATATCAACTGGTTAATATTTATGTAACAGTGTGGCGAGGTACTAGCAATATTATAACAGTAGCTGGGTACCATTTTGTTTTACTTGAGGGAAATTCAATATGAATAAAACAGCAACTTTTCAAACATGACATTTAATCCACTCATGTAAATCATACCAGGAAATCTATTATTCATTATTAAAAGGGCACCATATTTTTATTACACTGAAAATGAAACACAAATGCTGTGAAAAATTTAGTGCCTTTTCCTGAAGTTTCAGGACACTTATCATGTAGTCATCTAGCAGGGGCTGACACTCATTTTAAAATATGGCTACAAAATTAATAAATTTGAACTCTTTTGCTTGGAAAAAGAGGATGTTCTATTTCACTGAATGAAGTGGATTTATTTTTTATTTAAGGCTTCCTAAATACTTCAGATGGCAAAGTACTTTGGTAATGTTCACATTTGGAGTTAGACATACAATGAATAAAGTTCATGTCTTTATCAGTCATTTCCAGTATTTTCTTCCCTGAAGTGCATTTTGAAAACTACATATATCAGAAACTGATTAACATGACCTAAGGTATTAATTCTTAAAATATGATGAAACAAACAGTTTCAAGGACATTATTTTCTGTATGTCAGCAGCTGTCTAAGGTCTGTGATGCTTTTAATAATTACAAAACTAGGTATCATTAGCAAAAGTAGACCACAAACTTTCCCCTCCTTGTGTGCCCCCCCTCCACCGTTTATTTTATTCTTTAGTGAAATGCTGGCATAAATGAAGAACATCTAGCTCTTGGACACATTTTTAGGACATAGTATAGGAGTTTGATAATGCTTAGCAGTGCCAGATGACTTTCAAAATGAGAGCCACTTACATTTTCCCTGAATGCAAGTATTTGTAGTTGGGATGATAAGGCACTACATGAACCTTTTGGTAAATTCAAGAACTAAGCCTATACAGGTGCTTGTATTTATTTGAAGACTGCAGGCTTGATGTTTTTATTTCACAGGAATATGTACTTATAACTACTTCTATTTTATTTATCTGAGTCTGTTTGAGGTCTGGTCTTCAATCGCCATTTGCTAAATGTCTCTTTGCAACAGCTCCTCAAAATACATGTTCTCAGAGCAATTCTGTTCCATCTGTGTCACAACCCTGTGGCACTGTACCATCCTGAGGGATAGATCTCTGTGGTAGGACACCAGCAGCCCTGGGACTGGTCACTGCTTATACTGTGGGGCCATGGGCCCCATGCTGCTCGGACTGGCTGATAGTCCTTCCACAGTGCTCTGCTCCCCAAGTGGCCATGAGTCTGTCGTCTTGCTGTGCACCCAGCAGAAAGCATCACAGGGACCTGCTTTGGCCCAGTGCCATGCTGTGCTCACATCCTGTTCCATCCTAGAGCTGCAGCAAGGTAGTATCTCTGGAGACCTTTGCTGCCCATAGATGGACTTCCTAAATGTGGATGGCTCCATTTCCACCAACGTGTGAAGACTTTGAGAGATTCATTAAGTCTGGTGTGCTTACATTACAAAGCTATTACATATTAGAATCTATTGTATCTACCTTATTTAGAACTTATTTACATATTCAAAAGGTCACTACTTCTCCTAAGTTTTGTTTTTGGCAAATTGGAGTTACGTGTCATGTCTAATCACT